TACTGGAATCATGTTAATAGAAAATTTCATTCGTTTTTTCGAATATTTTCGTTACAATAAAGGAGAAGCGCGAAGTCAGCTAGAGATGTGCAGGGTAATTGTTTACGCAGCTCTTGCCCTACTCTTTTATATTATCAATTGCACCAAAAATGGGTGTCTTGTATCCGATAAAATAACTGTCGCTAGCGGCCGACCTCAATGTTGTACCGACGATATATCTTTTTTAGACGAAGCCCTGGTCCTACCCTACCTTGTGACTTTGAAGCCCTACCCTACTGGGTAGGGTAGGGTAAGCGTGCCTTGCACATCTCTAAAGTCAGCTTCCTATTATATAATACATTTTTGCTCTATAGAATTCAACTGTCTTATGCATTAAAACGCTGAAATTTTACACAGTTCATTGTCTGATATTTGAGGGTCAAAAATTTTAACGGGTAGTTCCTTGACTGATCTTCTTCTAAATAACACGCATGGACACTTAAAACAAAATCTTTTGACCTAGCGAAACCAGTCTACATACTTTGGCACAATAGGTTTTAAATGAAAGCGTTTTTAATCAACATCGTCGATTTACACTTTAGTCTGAAGACGAGATTCGGTACGGAAAAAGAACTCAGTAAATAGGCAGAACGATCCCTGAAGGGTGAAGGGACTAAGCAAGGAACTAGTTCAGCAAATTGGATTTCGAGGTTCATTTCCAGTTGTTGAACTAATCATAATAAAAACAAGGAAAGAATAAAGATGTTAAGAACAAAGTTAATTTTCTTTTGCATGTGTTATTCGATTAAAATCAGTAGATTACTTTAGGGTGATTTTATACGATTAATAATAACTTAAGGTAAATCAAAGTTTCGATTTACTGGTAAACTATATTGACAAAAGGACCCCTCACACAATTCCTACGTTTATCATCAACTCTTGTGTACAGTATTATTACTTACCTTTTACTGGGAGCCATCTGAGATAGATGCATTTTTCTTGAAGAAGACATTTGATGACTGTTTTGTCCAATTGTTAATATACCTCCCTTCCCCCGTAACAGAAGACCACCTGGTCTTCTATTTTGTGCGACAAGTCGAGTTCTAAAGGGTGGTCTTCTCTTGCGGTCAAATTTTATCGCCTGCTAGTAGTCCAGCGGTAACCCCTCACATTAGAAGAACATTTTGGCGAAACTTTTTTTAAAATTGCCCCAATAGTAGATCGTGAAGAGAAGGTGAGTCTTTCACTGATATTCTTCACTTTTTGTAGTAAGAATTTTCTTTTTCAGTTTAGTATATCGGAGAACAAAATCTAGAATTCGCTGTTTTTTGTGAGAAGTAGAGTAGTGAATAAAACGAGATGTTTTTCTTTGTTTAGATGCATCTGTAACTATTCTTAAGTCTTTTTTTTACCTCAAGGTAAAGTAAGTATGTTTAATAAAATTTATCTTGATGTGAATAAACAATGTTATCTAAACCATATAAACCTTACATCATGCGCTGACACATTTTCTTTCTCTTTAAAGTGCAATTTACACTCGTTGTATCATTTTAAAAGCATTCATCAAAACATCATTAAAAATGTATGTAATTTCAGCCTCTAATCCAATAGAAAATCGACTGAAAACATTGCTGCTTATTTGTGGAATTTTCTACATTGTTTTGGCTATATTTCTGTGGGGCTTTGACGGCGCTCATGTCGCGTTTGGACTCAAAAGGTAGGGTCTATATATATTCTAAACCAGTTTTCACCTTTCCTCTCTTTTGTTTCTTTAGCTATTACGCTGGTTTCTATGCTGGTGGATACATTTTTGTTCTCGGTGTAGTCATGTTAGTAATGAGTTGTCAAACGCGTGTATACCTAATCGGTTTAATCATTAGCTTTATCATAGCAATAGTGCTAAATATGATTGGATTTATCCTTCAGATAATTAATATTAGAGATTATAAATGTTGGAATGGTGCTTGTACACTGGTGTTGGGAGATGTTATCAAAATAGCTTTGTTGGTCACATTTATCTTGACAGCTGCTAAGTCTACTTTCAACCTTATATTTACTGTTATGGTCCGTTCTCGTCATCGTCCTATCTAAGTTTTTTTGCAATAAAAATTGATTATTAACAACGGACGCAGCGTTACTATTTTTGTGACATGTGTAATTATTGTGCAGATCCGAAGAAACTAAGCTGTTTAATCTTTCTCATTCTATTAATCTTGTTTTTTGAGTTTAAGATTACGGTCAGAAGCTTGTGCAGTCTTATTTCAATACACGATTATGAAAATTGATAATATATATCATCATCATTACTCGAAAATATTCTACGAAAACAGTAATTGTTAATAAATTATACGTTTTCGATACCTATGGCAATGGGTAGACTAGATGTGTAGGATGTTGTTTAACTTTCTTTTGTTGAACAGTCGTTTAACAATGAAGAAACTATTTTCCGTATAAAGAAGTACGACAATAAGTAACTTCAATACGAAAGATGCATTACGTTGTTAGAGCAGCATCTATGTCTCAAAACAATGTCAAAATCATGTTTCTTTTAATTTCTTGTTGATATTTACAGAAAGTCACTAGTACTAACGGGTTTCGCAGCGTTAATGATCCTCTCCGTATTTTTGACATAAATCCTCTTATTGTTCAATCTTAAACTTTTTTCAAAAGATGGCCTATTGAATTCTCTGCAAAAAAGCGTATTGAGCGGTTTGTTTCCTATTTTAACAATAAAACCAATGAGAAAAATACTGCGAAGCTTCAACATCGATCACTTTTTAACCTCTTTTTTCGGTTTTTATCTTTTATATGTTGAAGTATAAAATACGAGGAGTCAGTCAACTTGTAGCCTTGGAAAGCCTCTATCAAATCTCTATATTTAGCATTTTTAAAAACCAGAAGCGTTCGCGAACAACATCTTTTTCTTCCACAACTGTACCAAAAGAATCATCGTTTTTGAATATATCGAGTCGAAACAGATTTAGCTGGAGTATTTTTGCAGAGGAGTTGAAGAAAAATCTTTTTTGAAACTTACTTATAATCATAAGACCATGATTAATATAAATATCTCTGCTCAGGTCTTCTCCGTTACCGAGATAGAAGACTTTGTTTTCTGAAAATTGATTTTTATTTATTGCTCCGAAGGTAAGATTAGACATTGATTACTTAGACAGCTGTAACTTTATACTTAAATTCTCCAGCAGCTGTAATTTTCCCTTGACTTTAGTCTGGTCAAACCAAGTCATCCATAGGAATTGTTATCCATAAATCATTGCATTTTCAACTTTTCATTAAACTTGAGCCTGCTAAAACATCTCGAGAAAAATGTTTAATTAAACGAGTTTTCGAATTATGAGGCTTACTTTGAATAAATATATAGCGTTTCCTTTCAAGTAACTTAGGATTTATAAGTCACCAAAGGGCGTTCGCTTGCGCAGATCCAACTTAATAAAGTCAAGAGACCGAGCGAGTGGAGACGAGCGTTACCTTGTTTTTTACACGAGAGGGAAAATATTCAAAAAGATGACTGTAATAATACTTACTGATACAGAGTATACTACTTACTGATGAAAAAAAATCTAAGCAAACTTTTTCTGATGCTGCGGGATAGATGTCGCCAGAAAGCGCTGAATTTCGATAATATAAAAAAATGTCATCCACGAATAAGAAAAGGTACAGAATATTGATAATCTGTTATGAAGAATCCACCAGAAATACTTGCCGCCCCCTTCGTATCTTAGAAGATTTCCAGAAAACTTTCTAGCTTTACATTATATTGTGCGCTTTTTCTGCGGAATCAGAGAACTCACAACATTTCTCAGTTATCCTGGGTTAAGGATAACTGACTACTAGGACTAAATGCTAGGACTGAGTTTAGTCCTAGCTTAAGGGAAGTGTCATGAAAGCTGGATTTTTTAAATTCGAATGTTTTTAAGTCCAAGAAGACTTTTTATCCGGAAATCCTACTCACCCATGCAACTCCACCCGGATGTAATTTCATCCGGATTCCGTAAAATTTCCGGTTGAGTCTCCCTCGATCAACTACAGTAAAAAATATTCTATATGAGTTTTCCACTTGCAATAAAAAGCAATGCAAGTCCGATTGTTAATCAGCTGTCACTCCAAATGTACTTTAATAATGATACTACTAGTATGACTATTATACTCTATGACATGCGAACTTGCATTGCTTTTTATTATAAGCGACAAACTCTTCTAGAATTTTTTTCCTGGACTTGTGAGGCTTTTTGAGAAACTACCGGAACTGATCGCGGGAAATCCATCCGGAAATAAGTCATCGGCTTCTAACACATCCGACAAATGATTCGTCTGAACATGTTTGATTCTGGATGAATAGTTTTCGGATGAGTTAAAAAAAGGATTTTAATAAACCGGATTTCATGGCACTTACTCCTAGTGTATCCTTTTTTCTGATTGGTTCGTACTAGTTGACGTCCTAATTTCTCCAAATAGTAGAATAAAAAAGAGTGCCGTTACCGTAACGGCACTCCTTTGTATTCTTCTGTCTGTATGTGTGTGTTCAGAAAACGTTTTAGCCTTATATTACATTGTGCGCATTTTCGTTGGGATCAGAGAAGTTCACAACATTTCTCACCATTCCTAGGTACGAACCCCGCCCACAGGAAGGCGTGAGCATTGACTTTAATTCAGAAATATTTTTACACCTCTGGGGAGGGTCTCGAGAAAACCTTTTAGATTTACATTGAATTACGAGGCGCACACACCAAATCAAAGAAAAATTCATGATAGGTTTCAGATAGTCCCCTAGCTCACACCTCTCTTCGGTTGGTATGAGCTTTATCTTCGATTTAAAGTCATGAAAGGTCGTTCGCAGATATAAGTTCCTAAAGTCAAGGGACCAAGAGAGTACAGTGGAGCGTTACCTTGTTATAAAAACGTTTTCCATGGATGGAGACCGCGTTTCCATGTTTAACCACGTCGGACTTCCGATTTCTTTTTCACGATTTCTACCAGTGGAGACGAAGTTCCCACCTAGCAACATGTCTCTATACTGTACTCGAGCTACTTATGGTTATTTTATTCATAAAGGTATGATAACAAGTAGCCGGTAGAAAAGTAGTTACTTATGGTTAGTTTTGTGATCACAATACGAGAATGTGTAAACTTGATACGAGGTAGTGTTAATTCTGTTGATAATATGATAAGGAAATCATACTTAACTTTAATTTCGTTTTCCTCGTAGAATTTTATTTTGTTTTATAAAGGAGGAGTGGCATTAAGGCATATTCTCGGATATTAAGGCATGTTCAATAATGATTTTTTTATCAACAGACCCTAAAGAGAGATACTACATACTGATGTGATTGGATGGGAACTTTCTACACGAAAAATCGGTTAAAGAAATATAACATTGGAAAGAGTATCACTTAATGTATTTTCAGTAGAAAATCTTTTTTGTTCACGGCCTCTAAGTATACCTTTGGTCATCAACAAACTCAAGAATAATTAACCGTGGACAATCGGGGAGGCAATCTGCGTTTAGTGGATTGAGATGACGTCCGATCGACCTAACTCTTTCGAAATCAGATAGAGCACAGGGAATTACGTATAATTAGAGTTACTCAGTCTATCATGGGCCCTATCCCTATCAACTGAGAGAGCAAAACGGAGAAAAATGGAGTCCAAGGTTGTTTTTTGTTTTGGTTGTCATTTGACAGCGAAGCATTTTTGGACGTTCTAATTGTGATATTCGTGATTAGCATGGACTATTGTGTAGGACTAGGCATTATTTCGGTCGAATTTGAAAAAAAGTTTTCCGACTTTGCCCTATACGAAACGGCAAGTATGACGCAGTCTAACTTATAGTCTTTTCGTACGCTTAAAATTAAGCTGGAAATTGTTCGAGAATCGGAAGCACTTTTTTGTTTAGAATTTCCTCATATGCTTAGATGTCAAACAGCTGTGGAATATATTTGACTATTTTTCATATTGTTTGTCTTACTACCCGTCTGGATATCGAGTTTCACCAGGTCATTCTCAAATATGTTTACTGTATTTAAAAGATATAATCTCACATTTATCTTTACTGCATTTAGTGAAACATCGATGTCAATAAAAATAAAAGTTCTGAGTGATTAATACGTAACCCATAAAACAAGTTATTTCTGTCTGATAATTATGTTATTTATAATTTATGATCTGATATATTAACATATACATGAGAAAGTCGTAATAATGAATAAATCGAATGAGAAGAAAACTCACTTCAAATACATAAATGCGATATACTGTTATCCTCTACACTATAACATGACAATGAAACTAATCCTTCTACTCGTTTTTGCTTTATCAGCTAATGCCGACAGCGATATCAATTCACGACTTCAGTCTCTCTGCGATGCCACCGATCTATCTGGATCAACCTGCCCATTTTTCATCAGTCACGAAATACTCTCTCAACTCGTGTTTAGAATTAAAGCTGACGGTGCGAACGGTCTGTGGACATCGACACCATACGCTGGAATTTGGTGGCAATCCGGTCAGGGATTCTGGTACATAACCGAATATTTAAACACAATGGCGTCTCGTACCACCGATCTTCTCTACTTTGGCATACGATGGGCGGGTGAAACAACATCGGACAACCACAATCAATACGTAGCCACGGGCTTTCTCGACGATCAGGCGTGGTGGGGAAACGGTGGTTTGAGAATGGTGGATTATATCCGATCGACGGGTGATTATGGACCGCAGAAGTTGACCAATTCGGCTGTTGCTGTCAAGAACGATAATCAGTTGCACAGTGATGCGAACTGTAGTGGTGGTGTTTATTGGGAATACAAAACACCAAGTAAAAATACAATATCGAATGTTCTCACAATGGAGCTCGAGTCACATCTGTTCGCGATAAATGGTGACATCTCAATGTTAACTGCACCGAACAAACTCGGCTCAATAGATCTCTACAATTGGATGTTAGATATCCGAGAACTTGTGGAAGAAACGGGCGAACAATTTGACACAATTGATTCGCGCACTTGTGAAGTAACGGGTGGACCACTCGATTACGAGTACGGTGTGTTACTACAAGGACTTGTTCATTTGTACGAAGCCACCGATGATCAGCATTATCTCGACCAGGCACGAATATTTGCAGATAAAGCGCTGAGTATGTGGATGGATCCACGGACGAAAGTGTACAAAAACAATTGTGAAACATGTACCAACTTGGATTTGGTCGCATTTAAGGGGACTTTCTTTCTCGGTCTCTCTCGTTTGTATGACGAAACAAAAAATCAAACATACGCCGATATGTTCATAAATACGTTCAAAGCCATGGTCGAACAATCGACAAGATTTAATCAAACGGTGGATGATGGTGCAGAATATTTTGTCACCGACTACATCAACGGTGATTATGGGCATGTGCAAAAAGATGATTTCTACACTATATCACTGTTCAATAATTTGGCATTGACGACAGCTGCACTCAAAGTTTTTCAAAATACGTATCCTACTGTGCATGATCGATTAGATTTAACCATCAATGGTTTACTCACATACTCGAGACAACAATCTACACCTTACTTGATGTGTATATGTAATGATTTTGGATGTCCATTAGGCCATACACAACAATGTTTTACTCAAGCTGGTCATCATGATCTTCGAGCAGAGGTTACTGAGAAAAGCGATGCCTTTCTGGTGGCACCTAACCACAAAGTAACATTCTGGGATAACAGTGGCACGTTCGCTGGACA